ATGCAGCAGTATGTTAAGCACCATTTGATCTTTCCCACATTTTTCGTACTCATGCTCTCCAGCACACCTTCCACGTTGCTGTTTTCCTTTACAAACTGCTGCTATGTGTCTGAATTTTTGGCATTTGAAGCATCTCAAAGGTGGAGCATTGTAAATTTTAACATTGTAGCTGATGTAACCAATGAAAACCTTACTGGATAACTGCTCTTTTTCAAATTTAATGAACACAGATAAACTGTCAGATATTTCTCAGTTTCTTGTTGTTTTTAACCGTTTTACTTCTTTCACTTTTGCACCACTTATGTTTTCTAGAATCTCTTTTTCAGACACTCTTAGAGGAACTCCTCCAATGACTCCCCTGCTGATCTTTTTGTTCTCCACCAAACTGCACTGAACTCTTATCCCCTCAATTTTGTTAATCCGTATGGCTTAACCTTGCTGGGCACTGTCTCTGCAGTTTATTAACAAGTCTCCACTGTACAGGATTCTGGCACTTCTGACTTCTCCTACAAGTTTATATATGGATTTTGTTATGTTAACTGGATTCCAGTTTGTAAAAGAGTCTGCCGGATTAACGAGTTTGAATATGATTTTGTACTAATTTTGCTGTGGAATGCATAGACTGATCATCACTTGACAGCTCTGAACTGGACTCAACTGATCTCTGCTTTTTCCGCTTTTTCTCATTTTTTGAGGCTATCGTCTTCCAACCTTCTTCATTGTCACTATTTCCCTCTTCCATCCTACAAGAATCGCTTCCTGTTTCCTCACTCCTCACGGCCCAGGACATTTCTCCACAAGCGATTTCGAAACACGCGTCATGCACCAAACGACCATACGGCCTTCCTGAAGAACACCACCAGGCTACTCAATCCTCCCTCGTTGTCTCCTCTCACACCTGCTCCTCATGTGCTCGTTAGCCCTGCCTTTGTCTCAGTCACCTATATATTCTCTTCCTCTGCTGTCACTCCTGCTTGGTTCCTGGTTTTTGCTGGTCCTGTCGTCGTTCTTGTCTTCTCATCTTGTCTCTGCATGGCTCCTCCTGCGTGTTTTCCCCTGATATCTCCATGGTTCTGGTCTGTGTTACATTTTTGGATTTTGTTATTAATGTTTGCATTAAAACTACCAGAAATCACCTCAGCCTCTCTGCCTCTGCATTTGGGTTCTCTAAACCACAACCAAACTTGACAGTCATATTATTTTTCCATTAGATTTTTTAATAGTTTTTTTTTTTTTAGTAACAATCTAAACTCAATTCAGACCTTATGTCATAGTCTTGGCTCTGATGGCTGGCCTAATTTCACTCACCTGCCAAACTGCCCAGTTTTTAATTACTGCTAATGTTATCCACCTGCTGCTGCTTCCATTTATACAACTCAGCCCCAGCCATCGTGGCCAAATTATTGATGCTAATGCTCTTGCTCTAATTCTAGTGCTCATTCCTTGTCTATATAAGACTCAAACTCACTGCGGATCCAGACATTTGAATTGAGAAAGCTTCCTTGAGAGGTAGCGAAACGTCTTCAAATCTTGGAAACCAATTCCAGTGGATTTTTTTGAACTTTTACGAAATGACTATGACCTGGATGACTGAGAATCTTCATCAGCACCTTCATACAGTTAATTATGGGGTAAGGGGTCACACACTTGTTTGGCAACTAATTTTTCAAGAATTTCAGATAAGAAAGCAAGATTGGATATAGGTCTATTGTCATCTGGGTCACAAGCTGGTGTCTTAAAGTTGTAGTTGAGGATGTTTTTTTCCCCAGGTGGATCATCAAAATAAGTGGTTCTCCTTATGTCAATCAATCCGGTGATATGTTTCTGTGCATATGCTCACTGAAAGCACAGGGCCGGCTTCCCACTCATGCCTCGGCTACAAAGCTTCTACTCGAAAGGTTATCTTTGGCATGTTATTTGGAGAACTCCATTTAACACCACTGCCAGTAAAACAGGAACAAATGTCTTCATACATGCTCTTGCACAAGTTTAATAGGCGTTCTCTCTCGGGAGCGGATACAGGGTTGTGCATGTGCATTTTTTTTAATGGAGAGGGTGGGTCTTTTAAAAAATTCAGGAAAATTCTCCCCTTTACCTTTAAGTAAAGGTTACAGCTACCTTAGAGGGGAACACTGTTTTTTTTTTACATCAGTCCCTTGATTTTAAGTTATTACATCATGTTCTACTCACCCATATGCGTTTTGTGTCATTTGGAGCTGTTCTGAAGATATTGGAGGTGGAGGTGGAAAGCTACCTTAAGCAGCCTTTGTGAGCTGCATTGGACAAAGGATAACAGATTCTGTCCCTAAGTGTGCCAGACCTGCAAATCTCTGTCCAGGTCTGTTTTGGAAGGTGTGAGTTTCCCCAAGCACTTAGCAGCTTAGCAGGGCAGGTTCACAGCAGTTCGGTTATGTGAATGTGAATAATCACGATTTAACCTTGTTCATTCTGGAGATCTGGGCTAGATGTTTGCCATAAATGTGAAATGTGGTGTGCAGGAAATGTTCGGTGTTAATCAATCAGTTTCTGTAAATAAAATTGTAATTTCAAACTTTGAACCTGTGTAATAAAACAGTCTTATTTTATTGATTTATTGTTAATACAAATTTAAACCACTAATAGTAATAGCATACTAGGGGTGTAAATCACATCCATCATGGCGATTCGATTCAGTATCGATTTCCTGACCCAACGATTCGATTATTTTCGATACTTAAGAATACACCACGATTCGATTCGATTAATCGATTAATCGGTTAATTTTTTTTTTTATTATTATTATTTTTTTTTTTTACACCTTACAGGCTAAACAAAGTTTCAAGTTTGAAATAAATCAATGAAAGCTGTAATATCATTATGCATTTTCTTTAGAAACAACAGCAAATAACAGAAGTAGAAAAGTTGCATCAAAAAATACTGCAAAAATACTGCACAATATCAGTGTAATGAGTTCAATGCAATACCTCGGCTCCAGAGAAACTGTCCAACATATTTTTTTAGAATGTAATAAATATATTCAGGAAAGAGAGATGTTGTGTAGAGAGTTAGACAGGAATAAAAATAAACTAGATATAAGGGAATTGTTTCAAAGGTCATCTGGGGATGTAGTTTTTGGTAGTATTTTTAATTTTCTAAGAAGAACGGGTATTTTAGGGAGAATATAATAGTTTGTCTGGTCCATACTCCATTCTGGAAGGTGGCGGTAATGCACCTATAAGTTGTTTGCCAACCGCCATAAAAAAAAAAAAGAAGAAGCAGGCTTCAGAGTGTTGCGTCACCGCCCCTTTGAGAGACGCTCGCTGCTCCTCTCCCAGATTGTAGCTGACTGCAAACAGTGCACCAGACAGGAGGCCGGCTTGTTTTGTTTTTATGACCGAAATTGCGTAAAAAAACTTGTGAAGTTTGACCCGCTAGAAGCGCGAGGTGCGCGAGAACGCTGGGACGCTTTTTCCAGCTGAATCTCCGCTCTTTTTGCCCTCATGTCCCTTCGTCGTCGGACTAAACTCGCCCCCACTTCCTCATCGCCTCGGCCGTATCTAGACCCACAGCGTGTAGCCCAGACCACGCTTCAATACTGAGCATAATTTAAAAATGTCTGTGTGAAGCTTGCTGCAACAAACTGCTGTAAGAGTATAACCAGGAAGCGCGGTAGGAGGGCAAAATAGGTTTAGCGGCATTGCAGCACGGGAGGATTACGCCCAGGAGCAAATGGATAAAAATAGACCGGAGGGAAAAAAAAAAAACATTAATCGATTATCTTGCGGACGTGTCGATGCATCGGATCGTCGGCTTTTGGATCGATGCATCGATACAAAACGATTATTATTTACACCCCTATAGCATACAATACAGCCTTTAAGGTCTAAATATCCACAATGAGTTTATCACACACACTAGAACCATATCAGTTGATTACAGTATCACTTCTCATGCATTCCATTGAGAAAAATGTCACCCATCAATTGGACGGCCAGTGGGAGCTCTAGTAGTATCAGAATTCTGTGAGTCCTAGTGTTAAGTGAAACTTTTTGCAAGGTCTTAATAAATCCCTCAAGATGGCTGTTGTCAGGATGTTGCGGATACGCCAGAGCTGGGTGCTGCCTTCTTTCTCTCCCTTCTTTCAGGTGGTAGTCGACAAGCAGGGAGGCGCCGCTCGCAGGGGAACGGCATTTCGTCTGGCATTCCCTAACCCTCCGATCATGGGCTTGTGCATGTTCTCGCATGCACTGGATAGGCGTTCCCTCTCGGGAGCAGATAGAGTGTTGGTCTTTTTTTTTTTAAGTGGGGTGGGCGGGACTTTTAAAAAATATGTGAAAATCCTCCACAATACCTTTAATAGCTCTCTATTTTAAAGAGGCCTTACAGAGTTTTCAAATGATAAAACCACCTGTGGCCAAATCACAGAACTGCAGCACTCTGAAACTCATTCTTGTAGTTCGTGCTCATACTTCACAAGGTTTATTTAAAAAAAACAACTTTTTTCACCTTATCTGGAGCTAGTATCTAAGTTGAGCTGGATGCCGGTCACTTCTGAGTATCCAAAAACTGTATCTTGAATATAATGCTTTGTTTACTAGGTCGAGGCTATTTAACATAGGCGCTCCTGATGTTACATACTCAGAACAGTGCGAGAACCTCCGACCCGAAGTAAATTCCAAAAAATAGGCTTCAGGTTTATAGATGCATCTGCACAGAATTGCTAAAGTGTCGTTCTTCTCATCAAACAATGGTTTAGTCATAAAGGTTAAGTTACAATGCAATTTTGACTATACATTTCAGTAAAAAATTAAATGTCTGTTAAAGGGTTTAGAAATAAGGCATAAATAAGCTATAAAAATATGTCAACAAAAAATCTGTACTTCTAGTTCTTATACTAGCTTGTTGATTAACTAAAACATCACCTTACTAGGGGAAAACTAAAATCATAAAAATCATAAAATCTCATGATAACATGCCCCAACACATATCCTTTATAAACGGCAACATACTGTTCACTTCAACAGTTTTTTCCAGAGGAAAGGTACAGGTGCTCTGTGTTTCTGCATTTACTCTGCACGGATACAGGATTTCAACTTTTTAACTCTTGCTTTATAACTATCTTGCTAAATAACATGTATTTTGCTTGACTATCTGCAGCAAAATAAGGAACTATGAGAAACCCTTCAACTCTGCTTTTCCTGATTCTCCAGGGGACTGTTCTGGCTCACGGATATAGTAAGTTACATAACTTGTAATTAACTCTTAAATATTAAGAAAATCACGACTAGAAGAATTTTGACTTGTGGACAATAGAGATGAATATTTCTGAAAAAACATTTTAGTCAGTCACTTCTTTCCCTACTCTGACTTCAAGGTGATCTGAAATCTTTAGGTGTAACAAAAAAGTGAAAACAGAAGATAGAGATAGAAGGGGCCCAAGAGTCCTAAATCTAACTAATATATAAGTGAACTCAAAATATAAACCACTGATTAGACATTTAATGTTTCTGATGTGTGTCTTATTTAGCTAATAACTTTTTTTTCCTATTTTCACTTCAGTACTCTGGCCTTCAACTTGATGATTTTTCCTTATTTTTTTTACATTTTGATTTTTGCATAAAATTTTAATTTTTTTTAATCTTTTTTCTAGAAAATGTTGCATTGCATGGAAAAGCCACCCAGTCTGACAGATTAAATCATGTTTTTGGAGCTGCTTCAGAAGCTATAGATGGAAACCGCCAGGCTCACTTTTATGCAGGATCATGTACTCACACTGAGAGAATGACCAATCCCTGGTGGAGAGTGGACCTGCTGGATACCTACATTATCACATCAATGTCTGTTACAAACAGAGGAGACTGCTGTGCAGAACTATTAAACGGAGCAGAGATTCACATTGGAAACTCTTTACTCAGTGACGGCGCTGCTAACCCAGTGTGAGTGATTATTTTTTGACTTTTTGACATTTGTTCTAAATTTCTTTGAATTCTTCAAGGAAGTCAGGTCTCTTTAGTTTGCAATATGCCATGCACACTAAAAATGGAAGGTAAACTACTCAAAAGAAAAAATACTTTAACAATTTGACTGTCCAGTTCATATCTTTTTAGATGAAGAAAAACTATTTTAAATTTAGTTAGTGCTTTTTGTCTTTTAATTGATGAGGCAGTGGTGTTCACTGTTATGCTCAGTTACTCCATATTTTTTCTCTCCTCCCTTCCCTTAGACACCAAGTTGTGATCAAACCTGGTATCTACATAGAAAAACAAAAGCAAAAACCGATACTCAAAATATTTAAAAGTAAATTGTGACTTTGTATACGGCCCTGTGAGCCCACAAAATAAACCCCACACAGTTTGGTTATTTTAATTTTAGAGTACACAAAAAGTAAAAAAAAAAAAAAGAATCACATCTTGTAAAAAGAATAGTTAAATTCCGATTTTAATAAATCCCCTTGTTATTATCTTGTAAAAAGAATAGTTAAATTCCGATTTTAATAAATCCCCTTGTTATTAATAATTTGAGGATTTTTGCCCAACTTAAAAATGAATTTACCGTGTGGTGAAAAACAAAATTTTTTCAAGAGTTCTTCCCTTGTATTCTTAGCCTTGATTAATACATACTGTAGCAGATTGTGGCAACCCTCGATATTTAGTCATTTTGAAAGGCTTAATTTATATTTTAATTTTGCCAAAATCTTGAAAAAGTCATTGATAACAAGTTAAAATTTTTGTAGTCAGAATTTCTATTATCATCCATGTGTTCCTTTAACATTTTATATTCTAGGGTTGCTATGATTTCTCATATCCCAGCTGGCAGGACTTTGACAATAACATTTACCACCCATGTGGAAGGACGCTATGTGACTATAGTGCTCCCTGGTCCAAACAGAATCCTTACGCTTTGTGAATTGGAAGTCTATGGTTACCCCGCTCCAACTGGTGAGACTTGTGTATAAATACTGTCACTAACCTCTACATATGAAAATTAAAATATTGCAAGTCAAATCTTAGCTCAGTCATTTTAGTTGAGATATTTAAAATGCAGTAATATGGGTTTTTTTCAGAATAAGTGCAAAGAAAATCAGGTCCAGAACAGAAAGCAAGTGAAATATAGAAAACAACATTTAGGTTTCTGAAAACTTTTTCTTTTTGCTGAAACAGACATAAAGCCACAACTGTGTTTGTTTTATGTGCCCTGTACCTAGAAAGTCTTAATAGGGATGAGTTATGGCTTTGTATAATTCATTTATAAATGAAGTTTACAGTTTAGTTTTTTTTTTTTTTTTTTTAAATAAATCTAAATTTAGAAGACACCCTAGAGTGATATGTTTTCCATTGTATTTTTTTATTTAATGGCAAGGTATGGCTGATGAGAAAGAAACTGAAAAAAAAAACAAGGCAAGGCCCTCTGTAATTAGAGGTCTTAGTATTTTACAAAAGGAAGAACAAATATAATTGAGATATATATATATATATATCTATATATATATATATAGATATATATATATAGCAATCTGCTTTTCTTTCTTAAGGAGAGAATATTGCAATATATGGAAAAGCTTCACAGTCAACAGTTGCCGCTGGAGCCATTGCCTACAATGCTATAGATGGGAATCGTGATGCTCGCTTTGACCACGGTTCCTGCAGTATCACAAATAATGACTTTAACCCCTGGTGGAGACTGGACCTGGGGACAACCCATAAAGTGTTCTCTATTAGGATAACCAACCGGATGGAACATGCAAGCAGAATTAATGGAGCTGAAATTCGTATTGGAGATTCTCTTGATAACAATGGAAACACCAATCCCAGGTAGGTTACAGTCTTCTTTGAAAAAAAGAAGTAAAATATTTTGTAGTAAATCCTACTTACTTCTCATAATTTGCCATTTTTTGTTAAAATGAACAAAAAAAAAACTTGTTTCCACTGACAGGTGTGCTGTGATCTCTACCATCTCTCCTGGTTTTACTGAAACCTTTCAGTGCAACGGCATGGATGGTCGATTCATCAACATTGTCATACCTGGACGAAATGAGTTTCTCACTCTGTGTGAGGTGGAAGTGTATGGATCTAGACTGGATTAAAAACAAAGATGTTAGCTGAAAGGGGTATGTTTTTATAGATATCTATAGATTACTGTGTCTGATGAAAGTTATTAAAGCTTTGACAAAATGGCTTACAAGAGGGCAGGAAAAGTTTCTCAATCAACTGAGTGTTAAAATTCTTTTTCAGTTGTGGGCACAGCTGGAGAAAAAAATGGAATTTAATAAAATAAGCAGAAAGTTTGATGTTTTTAGTAAAATAAGTTGTTAGATTTGTCTGTGTGATCACTTGTATGGTATGTTTGGTGAACATTTAAGATATTACCTACAAATGAATTAGTATTTTAGTCTTAGCTTGTTTTAGTTATCAGTGTTTTTTTATACTTGAAATAATAAATTGCTTACTACTTAAAAGCTCAAAATCTGTTGTATTTTTTGTGAAGAACAGGCTTTATTTTTACAAAATAATGACCTAAATTCCCTGTAGACTTGATATTCAATTAAATTCAATCTAATAATAATTTACTAATCCTCGATGAGAAATTCAATTTAGTAGTGCATGTTCAAGAACACAAAGACACGAAAGACAAAGCATAGATTTTATACATGGGGGTACTTGGCATCCGAGGCCTTGCAGATTGAAATAGGTGAGGGGAGGAAAAAACTAATGTTTAAAGTTGTAGGGAAATCATATTTAAATGTCAAATCATTCTGGCCAAAACATGTATATAAACGTAAACTTTATCTGACAATATTGTCCCAAAATTTAGAAAATTTCTGTTTAAAAAAAAAATCCTGTCCTGTCAGCCTGGACACCTAAATTCACCTAAATTCAGCCAATCACATATCAACGGTCATCTGTCAATTTTTTTCGGTCATAGCATCTTGATTCATATATCGCAGCTAATATATGCAACGGTTGAAATAATAAATAAGAATCATTTACTTTACCCTTGAGTTCTGTCCCAGTGTTCACGGGGATGGACGTCTGTGTCTTCGGCATACGTAGAGATAACAGAACTTGCAGTGTTGCGAGGCAAGATCTAAACATGTACGACTGTAAGCCTTCTACACCAAACCAAGCTTCTGCCACCCTGGCGTCCTCTTTGTCCCCGCTTTCCTCGTCTAAATAAAAAATGGATGATGGAGGAGACTCATCCACGACCTCCGACACTAAACTCTCCTCCTCTTGCATGTTTCCTCTGTCCATAGCGTTCCTTGACAGTGTCGTTTCTAAGTCACCAATTTAGTGCTACTTGGTCCCAATGGAATTTCCCATTGGGAACCTACTAACACTAAGTTGCTAACTGGTTAGAAAGATGCTTCTGACAAACCGGCCACAATCAAACTTGCTTGCAAACCTTCCGCTACAACAATCCCAACCCCTTGATAAATGACCAATAACATTCACTTTATTCACTCATGTAAAGCGGGCCCTGCTCGGGATAATTCGGAAATGCAATGTTTGGAACAACCGTTTTCCTACGACATATGTGGTTCTATATGCTGATGGTACCACAGAACTATCAGAAAGCCATATGGTGAATATTAAAAAAAGCCTGACCATCCAGCAATGCCTTGTGGTAAAGCTACTGCCCAACCTGGTTGAAGACCAACTGATATTGTACGGCTGCAAGCCTTCTACACCAAACAAAGCTTCTGCCGCCCTGGCGTTCTCTTCCACAACATCCTCGTCCCCACTTTCCTCCTCTAAACATTCCAATTGCTCTAAACTAGTGAAAAGCTAATTTGATCATATCCCAAATGTTTCCATATAAACTTTGGTTTTCAAACACAAAATCCATCTTAAACTGTAATATGATTTTTAACCATGTTTCCCCTTCCTCTTTGTACATAGTAGTTTAGTTTCACTAGTTTTAGTTGAGAGTTTTTAACTTAAATATTTTTGACTTTGAGCTGAATGATTTTTGTTACCGGTAATAAACATTTAGATTTTGAACAGAAGTTGTGGTGAATTTATTCCATGTATGTGCAGAATTAACGGTTTGTCCATGATTAGAGCTCGAATCACTCTTTAATTTATTGTTCTAACACACAGCTAGAAGAGCTATGTGTTCATAAACAATATATAACAGCCGAAATAATATCTGATTAAATAAGATATTTACCTCCCCTACTGGGGAGGGCAATAAGGATCTTAAAGTATCAGAATTATAAATTCTAAACTGGCTGGGAATTGAATAGAATATAAATCTACAACCTTAATGTGGCAACCAACCCGCATGAGCATTGAATATAAAATCACAAAATAATTATATACACTCTGGGTTCCTGAGCATAACTCTTAACCCCACACTGTCATGATAGGCTAAAGAGACTTAACCCACATGCAGAACACCACATGAAACTGAGTGAAAGTTTAACAGAGTTTATTGAGGACACACACACAGAGTAATATGAACTGGTTCTGGTACAGGTCCGGGACTGGAATCACTGATATCTGCAGTGATGGATAGTTTGATTAGCCAGGCAGCTTTGATGGTTTGTCGAGTGTGTTTATTCGGAATGTACCTTGATGAGGTTCTGGCAGATCCCTTTGAGAGGGGGAACCGGTTGGATCCAGACACTGTAGATTCAGCAGAGAGCTCAGCAGCAGCAGCTTCTAGCTTCTGGTTTGTGAGTTTCAGACCTTGGCTTGGTTTCCTAGCTCTTCCTTGAGAGCTGGTGGAGGGATCCAGACTGATATCTTCAGGTTTGGCTTCCTTGGGCAGGCAGGCAGGTTTCCAGGCAAAGCTCATCCAGAGCTTCAGACTTCAGTTGGGTTTTCTGTGAGCAAAGAAGACAGAGGCAGGTTAGAATCTAGTTTCTCTCTAGAGCCAACTAAGATTCTCTTTTAAGATTAACAGAGGCTCAGGTTCGCTAACCAAACTTGGTCAACACTGCGGCGTTGAAGGAAGGTCTGACTGCTGCTTATGTAGAAGGTCTCCTGATGGGCTGATGATCCTCAGGTGTGCTGAGGGCTCCAGCCCAGTAGACCCACGGCGCTCTCTGCTGGAGACAGGTGGTAGATCTCCAGATCCCAACACACACTGCTCCCCGGACGCCACACAATGGCGGCCCACTGCTCCCCAAGGGGATGGGTCAAATGCAGAGTAATAATTTCCCCATTGTTTGACAGTAAAACAGATTTACATTTGCATTGCCTTAACAGCAGCTGCAGGTGAATCAGACCAACATCTTACCGGGTCACTTTGATAAATTGCATGTTAAGGGGAAATATGAACATTGCTACCAACATGTAGAAAAACATTAAAAGAATAAGGAGAGGGCTCTATTACCAAAGAGGCAAATAAGAAAAATGGTTGCTAAAATGTTATTTGAATCTCATAATTCTTTATTTTTTTTTTTACAATGTTAGAAATTCTTTGCAGGAATGATCTTCGATCTTGCAGCAGATCTGATGAATCATTTTACTGGAGATAGTCTGTTGTTTAACATAATAACTAGACTAGAAACGTGACACAATCTCCTCTTGGAAAGGAAGATTGTAACAGAAGGCTGTGGTTAACCCAGCAGGAAGTAATTGAATCCCTCTTCAAAATAGGCCTGAGAGTTTGAAAAAAAACCCTGTAAACTGATCCTAAGAACAACAGTAAAAAGTTATGAGAACAATCTTTATTCCTAACAGATTTCACCTAAGCTGCCAGTGATGCTATGGGAAGCTAAAACGTTTCGCTTCCCATCCAGGAAGCTTTTTCAATTCAAAAATGTATTTTTCAATAGATTTTTTTCAATTCAAAAAGTAATTGAAAAATAAAAGTTGGATGGGAAGCAAAACATCTTCAAACTTGGAAACAAGTTTACCTTTTTGGAATAATATACACATTCAATTGAGTAGTTCCTTAATTACATAGATTCATTGTTGATCTGTAGAGACTCATGATGTTTTTCCATAATAAACCAAAAAAGGTTTTAAAAAGGACATAAATTTGGTGTTATTTAATCTAAGGTTAAGTATATTAAAGTGAATCTTTAATATCTACATTTTTATTGTTGCCTTATAGTTACTATATAGTTAGATACTAATGATCAAAATGTCAAATCAGTTAGGACACTCGGCATTAGAATATCACTGCTACCACCCTCTGGTTTAGATGAGAAACACTTGCTCTGATGGTGTTTAAATCTACATTGAAAAAAAAAATCATTTGTTTGGTTTGGCCAATAATAGCGCTGGCCTCCCCTGAACTAACCAAGAATGGTGGGGGGTGATTTAGTTTGAGATTTCATTGGACAACATGTGTGTTTTATGTAAAATAAATAAAGGATCAGTTAAAGATTGATCAAATGCTCAAAGACAAACTCTGACCTCAAACACGAAAACCACTGAAGAACAAGGTAAGGACAATCTCTGTAGTCTTTGACTAATATCTGTCTATATTCCCTAGATATTCTAACTATTTACTTTTGCAACCTGTGTGTATAAATTAACAATTCTAAGTAAGAGCTTAATATTACTAACATAAATGTTTTCAGAGAGCATTTGTCAGCTTTTGTATCCTGTGTTTTTTTCTTTTTTCTTTTCCAGAATCATGAGGCTCACTGTATTATTTCACCTACTGCTCCTCCTGCCAATGTTCTCAGCCTATATTTACCGTAAGTTGAGGGTAACATATGCATGTAACTTTGGAAATTGTGCATTTGTGAGGAGCATTAATGTATAAACGCAACATTTTTAGAGTAACTTTTTCCTACATTTTTCTGTAGAAAAAGCGGTTTGTCCTTACTCAACAAAAAGTATTCCAATAATACATTTTGTTTTGTATATTTTTTACCATAAGCCTATTTATCTTAAATGATCTGTAAATGGATTAAAAAAAGTTTTGACTTGTATTGCTTCATATTTAATTGCTTGCATTTTCTCTTAGGGTGTTCACAAAAACTCTAAATTTTTTGTTTCATTTAACTGAAAACATTTTTAGAGTTTATATCATTAGAACAACAGCTTGTAAGTTCTTCTTAGAGCTAGGCCACATACATTTTAACACAATAATGTCATTTACATCATCACCTGTTGGAAGTCTCATGCCTAGACATTGCTCTAATTTAGCATTCAATCTGTTTTATATTTCACATCATTTATTGAAGAGAACATTGTTTTCATGTTTGAGTATTTTTAATTTAAAATTTAGATTGTCTCTGTAATCATAATAGATTCAAGCATTTACTAAACTTAAGTTCACAGTTTACTTCCCCTTTCTCAAACAATTTATTGACTCATATGGAAACAAAAAGCCATCTGTATAATATACAGTAATTTTATAAACTTTTAAACAGTTTTTTTTTTTTACTATTTATTTCAATGATTATTAGTAAAAACATTAATTCTTTATTCATTTAATTGTTTTTTTTATAGCACATATGTTGATTAGTGCCAGCCATATAAACACAACCATAAATTAAAACAAATAACAATTCAGCCTATGTAGCTATTTAATTTATTGTAATATTTAAAACCAGTATATTCTCTAAATGTTTCAAGATAAGTAGGATTATGCAAACTTGCATAAAATCACACATGCCAAAATCCTTTTGATTTGTGTAACTAAGGGCTCCTTAGATAGGAAAAAAAACAACAAAAAACATGAATCATTTCAGACTTCAGGAGCTGCAGATTGTTAAAAAACTTAATAAACAAACCACTGGACTTTGTTTTCCAAGTTTGAAGAAGTTCCACTTCCCATCTAGGAAGCTTTCTCAATTTAAAAACGTCTGATGTAGCATTTGAGTTCCAGGCTTATAGAGTGGCACAAACAAAAGCCTTATGGCTTGGAAAACATGCAAATAGAAGTGGAAAAAAAGGGTCCACCCCTCAGTATTGGGGAGTCCTTGAGTACTAAGGGGCAGACCTGTTTTTGTTTTTTTTTCCGGCTCTATTTGCATGTTTTCTAAGAGATAACAAAGCTTTTTTTTGGCCGACTGGAACACAAACGCTACTGCAGACGTTTTTAAATTGAGAAAGCTTCCTGGATGGGAAGCAAAACTTCTTCAAACTTGGAAAACAAAGTCCAGTCGGTTTGTTTTTAAATTAAAGTAAAACTTTTAGTGGAATGACTATGACCTGAAAGACAGAGAATGTTCAACAGAAGTTGCAGATACTTTTTTATTTACTAAATGTGTCAATTTCTTCACCATAAAACCAATAATGCATAATTTGAAATAATTTCCTTCTTCTTCTCAGAAAATGTGGCTTTACGGGGCAAAGCTACACAGTCTTCTCAATTGAAAGGAGACAATCATGGTTATGTGGGTGCCTACAATGCTATTGATGGAAACCGAAATTCTGATCTTAAAAAAGGATCATGCGCCCACACTGATGCTGAAAATAATCCCTGGTGGAGAGTAGATCTGCTGGATTCATACATTGTCACCGAGGTCATCATCACTAACAGAGGAGACTGCTGTGAAGATCGTATAGATGGTGCAGAGATTCGCATCGGAAAGTCCTCGCAAGACCATGGCTTTGCAAACCCTGTGTGAGTGATCATGTCAGGCTACATCTGGTTTTCAAAATGATATTTTAAAGTTCAAGAAAAGCACATCTTTTTACTTTTACGACTAACAATAATAGTCCTTGGAAATCTTGACCGTTACTAATACAGTTCTTCTCTTTTAGGGTTGGTACAATTTCCACTATTGCAGCTGGAAGTTCTTACACAATAAATACGACTAATCATGTGGAAGGTCGTTATGTGACTGTAATATTACCTGGTTTGAACAAGTATCTAACACTGTGTGAAGTGGAGGTCTACGGGTACCGTTCTCCAACTGGTGAGAATCCTTTTTAAATGGGAAAAACTATGATTTTGAACATTTAAAAGACTTGAAGAAGATCTGATGCATATTTCTTTATTGGATTAAATTAAAATTAAAGGATTCCTTTCAAATAATATGTGTACTTAATCACAGTTTGCGCAATAATCATTCTTGATCATTTAAAATGCTAGAAATGTTCAGGTACATCCAGTTTATTCAATGCACAAATCATCAGTTCCTAATTAGCACACACTACAAAGAAAAGTCATAATGATGCTAAAAAACTAGACATCCATTTCAAGTTTAAATCATAGCAGTTTGGTTTTTATTTTGACTGAAAAAAAAATCAAAAACGGTATTATATATTTTACAACACAAACACAATAAAAATATATTTTTAAAGTGCAACACTAAATATATGTTCTCTATCCTTTGATACATTTGTGCATAAATTAAATACTTGCATTTAAATATCCGTGGGGATCGAACCGGGTATTGCAAACTTCTTAGAGCCAAGCACACAGCTCTCACCCACTTGGCCAACACTCCCCTGTTGTACTTTGATTTTTATTAAATTTTATTCATAATAAAAATGTATTTGGTACTGATGCCAATACAGTATGTGTATGTGACAGCCATGCATCACTGCTGAAATAAACAATTTTGTTTTGCAGAAGAAAATGTTGCAGTTTACGGAAAAGCCTCGCAGTCAACAGTTTATCCTGCAGCCATTGCCTACAATGCTATAGATGGGAACCGTGAAGCTCGCTTTGACCTTGGTTCCTGCAGTGCCACAAATAATGACTTTAACCCCTGGTGGAGACTGGACCTGGGGAGAACCCATAAAGTGTTCTCTATTAGCATAACCAACCGGATGGAAGTTCACACTCGAACTAATGGAGCTGAAATTCGTATTGGAAATTCACTTGTTAACAATGGAAATAACAATCCCAGGTAAGTCACTGTCAGATTTCTCACAATACTGACTATAAATAATCATATTGCATATTTGAAATATGCATAAATGTTGTTTTTCATTGTTATTTTTGTTAAACTCAAGTATTTTCTTCAATGGTTTCGATTAAACCTTTTCCTTCCTCTGACAGATGTGCTGTGATCTCAACCATCTCAGCTGGTTTTACTGAAACCTTTCAGTGCAATGGCATGGATGGTCGATTCATCAATGTTGTCATACCTGGACGAAATGAGTATCTCACTCTTTGTGAGGTGGAAGTGTATGCATCTAGACTGGATTAAATAAAACCTGGTTGGATTTAAACTTTGTATTGAGATCAATGCTGAAATGTGTGCATGGCCAAGATGTCTGCTTGAGCTAAAGTTAACAGGTGCAACAACCTGATTGTTTAACAACTAAATTAACATTCTCTATGGGGCAGGATGTCTTTGGCTGAAGTTAATAGGGGTATTTAAAACCACTATGGCCTTTTGAAGATTAAAGCTGCAAACCACTAAAAGGATTGAAACTGTGATGAATACCTGAACACATTGATAATATTTAAGATGGGACCAGAAATCTTAGGTCTTTAAACAACTGATTTACTATTTACATGTTTTGGGGATTCTTTTATTCAAGTTGGATAAAAATAAGTAGATATTCAAAAAAAGACAAAAAAGAGAAAAAGGCTTATATATATATATATATATATATATATATATATATATATATATATATATATATATATATATATATATTTATATATATATATATATATATATTTATATATATATATATATATATATATATATATATATATATATATATATATATTTATATATATATATATATATATATTTATATATATATATATATATATATATATATATATATATATATATATATAGATAGATATGGTACAAGGCATACAAGAAAATAACACCTTAATACTATCGCTGAAGTATTAGTAGTATCATTTAATCTGACATGTATACTGTTGTAGCTGAAGGTAAGAAAATGGGCTTTCTGTATGGAAGTGAATCTATATCTCTATCTCTAGGGCTCTTAAATTGCTTATAAGTTATATAGCTGAGCAACTCCTTTAGTGAAAGACTTTTACACCCTGTTAGTAAAAAGGAGCACTACCGCAGGTCATTCATCCTTGCAGCCACCAGACTCTACAATGCAACACTACAATGGCAATAAGTTGTGCAATATATAATGTGCAATTACTATTAATTCCCTGTGCAATAACCTGTTTGTTATATTTGATAACAACAGGCTATTGCAAAATAGCTGTATATATAAATACCAATCTATATAAATACCCATATAATTATCAATAACCCTGTATAATTAACATATATAATTATAAATATAATTAAAAAAAAATAGACTTAGACTTAGACAGTACTTTATTGATCCCTTGGGAAGACTCCCTCCGGAAATTAAGGATATATATATATATGGATGCACTGTATATACTCCATGCACCTTTTCTTCTATGCTATGCTTTTCTAAATTGAACATGAATGGTTCTGCATAATACAGACATTAAATTTCTTCAGTAGTCCTTTAATTACATAGATTTCTTGTTGATCTATGGAGAATCATGACTTTTGTCCGTTTAAAAAGAGCATGAATTATATGTTTGTTATCCTAAAGTTTAGTATATTAAAGTGAATAAACATTATCTGCATTTTAATTGCCTACTTAGAGTTACCATGTAGTTAGACACTAACAATCAAAATGTCAAATCAGTTAGGACACTCAACATTAGAATATCACTGCTGCCACCCTCTTGTTCAGATAAGAAGTGCTTTCTCTGATGGTCTTGAAATCTGTATTGAAAAAACAAATCAACTAGTTGGTTTGACCAATAATAGTGCTGGCCTCCCCTGAACTAACCGAGAATGGTGGGAGTTGATTTAGTTTGAGATTTCATTGGACAACATGTGTGTTTAATGTAAAATAAATAAAGGATCAGTTAAAGATTGATCCAGTGTTCAAAGACAAACTCTGACCTCAAACACGAAAACCAGTGAAGAACAAGGTAAGAACAATCTCTGTAGTCCTAAATATTTAAAGTTGGAACATAGTGTATAAATTTACAATCCTAAATGAGAGCTTAAATTATCAACGTTAATGTTTTCAGAAAACATTTGTCTGCTTTTTTCACCTGTGTTTTTATTTTCCCAGAATCATGAGGCACGTTGTATTATTTAATCTACTGATTCTTCTGCCAATGTTTTCAGCCTATGCTTACCGTAAGTCAAGAGTAAAATATGCATCTAACTTTGGAAATGTTGCAATTGTGAGGAGCATTAATGTAGAAACACAACATTTTTAGAGTAACTTATTTCACCCTGGGTTTTTCTGTAGAGGAGCTGGTTTCAATCATACCACCTTTCCAATTCCTGCTAAACTTATGAGTCCATAAAGCTCTGAAAGTACATTAAGTGAGCAGATTGTGCATGTAAGCATAGGCTACGCATTTTCACACACGATTAAACACCTCTCTTTTGGTGTTCTCCACCCTTCTTTATTCTCATCTTTTTAAGAAAACATTTTGTGCCTTTTCCTTAACAATCTCATGCTTAGACATTTCTCTATTTGAGTACTCAGTCTGTTTCATATTTCACATCATTTATTGTTAAGCACATTGGTTTCATGCTTGTTTGAGTTAGTAAAATTTCTAAATTTAGATTGGCCCTGTAATTATAATCGATTCAATCGTTTACTAAACTTAAGTTCACAGTTTACTTCCCCCTTCTCAAAAATAAATGGACTTATCTCTACATCTCTACATTCTACGCTGTACATCAATGGCAGCTGTTGGAGTTTCTCTGGTGGGCCTCTAACTTCAACATAGATGTATACCTAAAACCAGTCAAATGTATATTTAGGTATCACACCAGTATATTAACAACTTATAAAGTTTTCTGAGCAGTGTTTTAAATCAATCATACCTGTCTTAATTGATTCTGGGTGATGACGTTTGAAAAAGGAGTCAGGGAAAGCAGAATAATGTGTCATGTAACGCTATTGGTGAAGCTTCACAATGTTATCAACAGTTAGTAGCATCAGTAGATTGGTTCGTAACGGACCCTTGGAGGTAAATAAACACAAACACCAAATATAAAGTTTTAAATTGAAAAAATACTACTATTCACAACAAATGAAAACCAAATTAACAGTTAGAAGAGGACAACATAAAATAAACAATGGGAAATGACAATTACTTTAAAAGTTTCATACTTGCAGTCCCTCACAAGTGTAAAAGATCCTTAAATTGAAATCTGTCCAAAGGGGAAAAAAGTCCAACACCAAGGAAATTCGTCACCAATCCAATGACAAACAAAACAGCTTTACTCGTCATTAAAGATTCAATATTTATCTTGCACATCTAAAAGATATATTGATATATTTCAAAATCTTTTAATTTTATAATTTAATTTTTATTTCTTTTTTTTGGGGGTGAGGCAGCCCCCTAACAAACTCTTTTGGCCAACCTCCCCTGACAGTACCGCTATACACTTTGAAGTTTTTGTTTACTATTTATTTCAATAATTATTAGTTAAATAATTACTCTTTATTAATTTTTTCTAGCGCAGATTTACTTCACTGCCAACCATCTTAGCACAACCATAAACTAAAACAAATAACAATTCAGGCTATGGGCTATTTAATTTATTGTGACATTTAAAACAAGTGTATTCTCTGGATTTTTCAGGATAAGTAGGCTAATGCAAATCTTCATCACACACCCGCATAAAATCCTTCTTGTTGCTCAACTAAGGGCTCCGTAAATAGGAAAAAAAACATTAATGATTTCAAACTTCAGAAGTTGTTTTTATATACTGAATGTGTCATTTTCTTCACCATAAAACCAACAATGGAGGATTTGTTTATAAAACTAAATAATTTCCTTCTTCTTCACAGAAAATGTGGCTTTACGGGGCAAAGCTACACAGTCCTCCTACTCTACAGGAGACAATCAAGGTTATGTGGGTGCCTACAATGCTATTGATGGAAACCGCAATGCTGATCTTAAAAAAGGATCATGCTCCCACACTGACGCTGAAAATAATCCCTGGTGGAGAGTAGATCTGCTGGATTCATACATTGTCACCCAGGTCATCATCACCAACAGAGGAGACTGCTGTGAAGATTATATCAACGGTGCAGAGATTCGAATCGGAAAGTCTTTACGAGACCATGGCTCAGCAAACCCCGTGTGAGTGATCATGTCAGGGTATATCTGGTTTTTAAAAATTATATTTTAAAGTTTAAGAGGAGCACATCTTTTTACTTTTATGACTAACAATAATAATAATCCTATGAAATCTAGAATTTCACTAATACAGTTCTTCTCCTTTAGGGTTGCTACAATTTCCACTATTGCAGCTGGAAGTTCTTACACAATAAATATGACTAATCATGTGGAAGGTCGTTATGTGACGGTAATATTACCTGGTTTGAACAAGTATCTAACACTGTGTGAAGTTGAGGTCTACGGGTACCGTTCCCCAACTGGTAAGAATCCTTTTTAAATGGAAAAACTATGATTTTGAACATTTACAACACGTGCAGAAGATCTGATGCATATTTCTTTATTGGATTCAATTAGAATTAAATGATTCATTTCAAAGAATTGTATGTGTACATAATCACTGATTCCACAATAAGCATTCTTGATGATTTAAAAATGCTAGAAATGTTCAGGTACATCCAGTTTATTCCATGCACAGGTTATCAGTTCCTTGTTAGCACACAATACAAAGAAAAGTAACAATGAAGCTCAAAAACTAGATATCCATTTCAAGTTTAAACCACAGCAGTTTTTTTTTTTGACTGAAAAACATCTAAAACGGTATTATATATTTTACAACACAAACACCATGAAAATATTTTGTCATCCTTGTGTGACCTGAGAGTAAGTAGCACTGAATATATGATCTTTAGGTGACAGATTTCTGATGTTTATTATGTTCTATATTCTTAACTTATTACTAGTCTTATTAGTGTAATTATTTGTAGTAAGCAGTATTGTGTTTATTTTTTTCTTTAGTTCAATCCTGCATTCCATTTCCTGTATATTTAAGTTTGTTCCCTTTAGCCTGGCATTGATCTTTTCTCTTTGATTCAGTGTTTTGTTTATCTCTCTTCGTAACCTCTGTTATAATTAAGTGATTTACTTTTTGCCAGCTGCTCTACGTTATCATCTGAGTAACAAAATGGGATCCCGTGTCTTTTCACTAAGGTTACACTATAATTTCGTCTACTGATGGTCATTGTTCCCCACTTGATCCTCCCATTGATCTCCCCTTCATTATGTCTGTACTGCTTCTGAGTTGTCTGTGTTCCTTGTGCTGTTCTCCTTCTGTTCCTGTTTGCTTTAACATCAACCTATTTATGAAAAAACTCCTGTCTGTACCTGAGTCATAGTGCTGTTGTGAAAGTTTACCAGGAGATTACAAATACATAAAAAAATAGAACTGGAAGTTATAGTTAATTAAAGGGGTCATAGATTGCAAAACCAAGTTTACATTGTCATAGATGAATAACGATGGTTCAGTTGGTGAAATGGACATACAGAGAAGTTCAAACCTCATTGACACCTCCTTTCTCTCCAAATCTTACAATTCTAAACTTCTACCATAAAACGGGCAAATCCAAACGAAGCACCGAATTGATATAAACTCGGGGCTGTTGCCGTATTTAATTCTTGAGGGTTCACTGTAGTCGACCAAAATCCCAGACGATTTTGAAATTCCCCCCGGACATTGTTTTAGGTATAAAAAGTAGGACATGTCCGGGAAAAAGGGGACGTCTGGTTACCCTGCCATATCAACAATCTTGATGTTTCAGTTAATGAGTGCTTGTTGCTATGATGCGTCTTTGCTCAGCAGCTTTGCTCGTTGTAAACCAACCAATCACAGCACAGCTCATCTAAATATTCATGGGCATACCATAAAAGAAAGAAAACCTATAGTTTATTTCTAGGCCTTTTAACCAGGCCTGAATTAGGGCTCATAGAACAGCAAGTATGCAATTTTCAGCCCACCCAATGTTACACACGCTATTCAGAGACCTTAAAGACCAGCACCAAATACTCTCTATAATCTTTCTATGACCCCTGTCAGATGCTGTGGGATGATGGTGTTTAAAGCTGAACAGGAGTTCAGCAACAGCATCCACACGTGGGTGTTATTCTCCTGCAGGTTTGCTAGGCTCAGGTGAAGAGCAGAGGAGACTCAGTGGACCAGTTCCGTTGATGGGCGAACTGGAACGGGAGGTGTTAAAAATATCTCTGAAAACACCAGCCAGCTGTCCAGCACACTCCTTGAGCACCCGCCGTGGTATTATGTCGGGGCCTGGGGCCTTCTCTTGGGTTGTCTTCCACACATCCGCTTTGTCAAGGCATGGTGCCTCCTCTCCATGATGGGTTTACCCAATCAGGGAGAAACCTACAAAGATGTTGTTGAGTCCATTTAGGAAGTCAGCATCAGTATTTAGGAAGGCAGCATCAGCTACACCCACGGGGGGGAGAGGGTAGTTGATACTGTAGTCTGCAATTGCCCGTATGCTTTGCCACATGCTCCTGGTGTTGCTGGTGTCGTGGAAAAGATCCTGGACTTTCTGGCTTTGGCTCTGCTTGGCTAACCTGATGCCACAGTTCAAGTTGTCTCTTGCTATCCTCAGTGCCTCTTTAACACCAAAAGGCTGAGTTCCATGCTTTTAGGGTTTGTCGAACCTCCTCAGTCACCCAGGGTCATTGGTTGGCCCAGGTGATGGTGCTCTTTCGGCGCTTTTGTTGCTGGTCACTCCATCTTCGCTGTTCGGTAAATCTGCTTGATTGTGGGTCATAACCTAACATGCTGGTTAGATGCATAGATTGTAGTGTACTTGCCGGCATATTTGGAAGAAAATGCTTGCAGGTTGTCGGGAGCTGCCGCCATCTTGAAATTCACCTCAATTTTAGTAAACTCTTCAGACAAGGGAAACCACAGTAGTCCTGGGGTAGTTTGCCAGTAAGTAACCATTAGAGCCTTGTCTTCTGAAAAAATTTGAAATTTCCTAAATTCAAAATTCCATTTATTTCTTTTTTTGTTGCTCATTAATCCATCAGCATTTCAGTCTCTGGTTGCTGCAAAGATTTATGATGGAAATGCGATAGAAATCACTTTCGATCAAGAAAACGAAAATCTATCTCTCGATATGTTTGTGTATAAAGTAAACACTTTTATCTATATATCTTTTAGGAACATATCTCATCATAGTATATAAAAAATGGTCATACTTTGAGTTTTAATGAAATGTATTCATAATAAAAATGTATTTTGTACTGATGCTAATACAGTCTGTGTATGTGTATATAACAGCCATTTTTCACTGCTGAAATAAACAATTTTGTTTTGCAGAAGAAAATGTTGCAGTTTATGGAAAAGCCTCGCAGTCAACAGTTTATCCTGCAGCCATTGCCTACAATGCTATAGACGGGAACCGTGAAGCTCGCTTTGACTTTGGTTCCTGCAGTGCCACAAATAATGACTTTAACCCCTGGTGGAGACTGGACCTGGGGAGAACCCATAAAGTGTTCTCTATTAGCATAACCAACCGGATGGAACATGCAAACAGAATTAATGGAGCTGAAATCCGTATTGGAAATTCACTTGTTAACAATGGAAATAACAATCCCAGGTAAGTCACTGTCAGATTTGTCACAAAACTGACTACAATTAATCATATTGCATATTTGAAATATGCATAAATGTTGTTTTTCATTGTTATTTTAGTTAAACTCAAGTATTTTCTTCAATGGTTTCGATTAAACCTTTTCCTTCTACTGACAGATGTGCTGTGATCTCAACCATCTCACCTGGTTTTACTGAAACCTTTCGGTGCAACGGCACGGATGGTCGATTCATCAACGTTGTCATACCTGGACGAAAGGAGTATCTCACTCTTTGTGAGGTGGAGGTGTATGCATCTAGACTAGATTAAATAAAACCTGGTTGGATTGAAACTTCATATTGAAATCAATGCTGAAATGTGTGCATGGCCAAGATGTCTGCTTGAGCTAAAGTTACCAGATTTAACAACCTGATTGTTTAACACCTAAAACAATGATATATAATTAATCATTTTATAATTAAAATAATAATTTGCTATGCGGCAGGATGTTAATAAGGGTACTTGAAACCACTATGACCTTTTGAAGGTTAAAGCTGCAGGATTTATTCAAACCACTAAAAGGAGTGAAACTGTGATAAATAACTGAACAGATTAGTAAAATTTGGGATGGGACCTAAAATTTTAGGTCTGTTTAAACTGCTGATGTAATGATCTGGCCTGTTTGCTCTCCTTTAATTGGTAATTTCTTTCACCTGTCGTTTTTCCTTCCTGCCTCAATTATTATTTATTCCTCTCACCTGTTTCCTCTTGGTTATATTCAGTTCAGCCTGAGCATTCAGGGCCAGATCATTATTTGTTTTCTGTGAGTCTGTCTGTTCAGTATTATTTCATGGTTCATGTCCTGGATCCTAGCAGCCAGTGGAAAGAGGTTTTTGTGTTTGTCCCGTCTCCTGGTCGTCCACTGTTCCTCCCCCATGGAGTCCTCTGGGTTTTTGGCTCTATATGTGGGGAGATTTAGTTTTTATGTCAGTAAGCCTGGCTCCAGGGAGGAGACCAGTTTAAAGTCCTGCATCAAGTTCTGGTTCCACGTCCTGTCCCGGCTACCCTCTTTCACTGAGCCTGCTCATCTGCACCTGATCCTGTCTGCTTCTGTGCATGACCACCTGGTCACGCTTTCGGACCCAGTCAGACTCTGAACCATCCTGGGAGCCTGTGGATGCCTGGAAGTCTGGATCCTGCCACCTGTCTCTGTTCCTGCCTGATCTGGATCCTGTTCCTGTCTGTTCTGGATCCCTGACCAGGATCGGCTTCCAGCATGACCTCTGAGACTGCAGCACTTGGGGACATTCTAGGACTGGACTAAACCAGAGGTCTGTGATAGGGCGGTGCCCCGCTCCCCATCCTGCTGTGTCCGCGGACCACAGCTCCACTTTAGTTTTTGTTTTATTTGATTAAACTTTTTGAACTTTCCTACTGACTGTCTCTCCTTGAATACTGGGTCCATCTGTCCTCGGTTCATGACAACTGATTTACCATTTACACCTTTTGGGGAGTCTTTTATCAAAGCTGGGTCTGATTTTAAAAGATAACCAATGTAAGAAAAAGTAAGGGAAAAAAAAAGAATTTTAGTCTATTAAAATAAACATAGAGAGTTATGATGTCATATCTGAACAACCTGGTCTTACTCGGCTAAAAATTGTTTATTAATCTATCTCAGCCATCATGTTTAGTTTTCTTTTAGGAGTAAAGAACATGCCGTAGTGTATGGTTTCCTATCAAGAAATTATACGTTGTTACACATAATATATAGTTACAGTTCTGAAAAAAAAAAAGATTTTCTGTTATTTTAAAGATAAAAAATGTTCAAGATCTTTATTATTGGAGAATATTAAACCAGATCAAATTGGTTACTATAATCTTTATTTGGATGTCCAAGCGAAAATCAAAGAAAGACATATAAATTAAAAAAAGGAAAAGCAAATAGATATACTGTTATGAAGATCAGTTCACACATAGAAAGAAATTTAAAAATAATGGGGGAAAAAATTGTAGATATACAAAAAAAGAATCTGAAAAAGGCATATATTACTGGTTATTTATCTGAATAAAAATTCTTGCAGAAAAAAATGTGGTCACACCACCATCAAATCAATTAAATGTTGCTATTATTATGCTATTCACCAAAGTATCTGTGAGTAATATTGTTTATAAATGTAAATACAATTAAAGTACCTATTTTTGTGTTGTTAGACTTATTAGCTTTCTATCACTGCTAATTTATTTTATATTTGCCTCAAAAAGGCTTGACCCCAAAGTTTTAAGACACTCAAATGAAAAAATGCCACAGTTTGAGATCCAATCTGTGTTCAGAGTTCACATCTTACATCTATTTCTAAACAGCGGCTCAAAATCAAATGACAGATGAGATTATCGGCATGAAAGCAGTTCATATTCACAGAAGATGCTAGGATTCCTGGAATTACTAAGACCAATGAACCATGAAAAGTCTTTGTTAAACTATCTGCATACAAATACTAAAGATAATCATCACATAGCGTCCTTCATTATAAGTGGAAATCTTAACAACAACTAACAGCTTTCTTTTCTTCTATTAAACTGGATTACAGCCTTCTACAACATCAAGATAGAATCTTAATAATCCTCTGTATTTCTCTCAAGGGATGTTTTCCTTGTCTTCCTTGATTAAACCTCTATCATCAGAGAGCTTCTTCCATGAAAGAAGGGTGATACCCTTTATACTTGCATTCAGCTTTTGCTCCATCTGGGGTAAAGATAGAGAAAAAAAAAAAGCTGATTTTTTTTTTCTTTACCAATGCAAACACATATATTATGCTGAAACAAAATGACCTTCACTTATCACATAAACGGCAGGAAAACTAACTTTCTCCAACATGCTTCTTTGAATTGTAGGGTCATTTAAATCCAAAGTTGAGTGCTGGAAGCTGATCCTCAGTTTTATGAACTGCAGTTTGTTTTTTGCTAGAAGGCAGAAAAAAAGTCAAATCACTTGTTTGACCGTTTATTTTTTTAGCATTTTCTTTCATATAAATTTGGCATTTAATGCATGTTTTACTTACTGCATTTGCAGAGGAAAGGACGCTCTTCTGTGCATTTCCTGTCTCCCCATTTACCAGATTCAGTCTTCATCATAGCGACACAGGATTCAGAATCTTGTGCATAAATCAGCTGAGATTCTCTCCAGTACCTCATTGAGGAGTCGCTCAGGTCTGACCACTCCCAGGGATCTCTGAAGAGACCAACATATACTGTCTTCCCATTGGCAACATTCTGAACTGTCTGGTATTCTGTGTCATTCCTCAGGCTGACCAGGTCTGTGTATGTTTTTCTGCAAAAATCTCGACTAGCGGTCCAAGTCATCTGTTCTGGAATGAGGACGTACTGAGCTGCTCCTTGTTTTGTTTCTGAAAATTTAAATTGTATTAAAATTCTGTTCCTTAAAGGAAATGCAAGATAATGTACAATTTGCCTGTGACATCAGTATTTTTGTTCAGTGTGGAATATTTCATCCACACAAATATACAACAAATTGCTTTTAAACAGTTTTCAAATCAATCCGTCCATGATGGGAAATTTTAAAAGGATTGCTTACTATCAAAGCAGATGGAATGACTGCTGACTGCACAGGACCTTGTAGAAAGTTGTCCATTACTCAAAACAACACAGTTATCTCCACCTTGGTTGCCCCATTTAAGGTTATTTTTCTCTCCATCCTTGTAGAAACCTTGGTCTACTAGAGACCAGTGCCACTTTGGATTATTTCCTTTGTGCAGCCCAATCCAGACTGCATCAACATAGTTGTCTGCAACAGTTTGAAGAGCCATTTTCATCTCCTCCATGTCTTCCATGGTGGCCAGGTCAATGCATGTTTCTCTGCAGAAACTCTGTGCCTCATTCCAGGTTTTTGGAGTGTTTTGTAAGACATATTGGTGCCGATACAGACATAGAGAAACAGAACACAGTCCTGTAGAAGAGAAGTAAGAAGAGTACAGATAATTCATAATTAGTTGTTAAGTTATTTTTCTTTGAAGATGACAGTGGTTTTGTCTTGTTAGTAGAATATGAGAAAATTAGAAGTTTCAGAAGTACAAGTTTGGAGAAACTGACCTGTTAATATCAGTAACTTAATGATGTTTCCCATGGCTTCCATGAAATGAATGGGAAGAAAGAAAACTGGGATTAACTTTAGTAATTGGGAACATTTCACAGAATTCCTTTGATTATAGTGTCTGTTTTGTTTCGGTCACATTTAAAGAAGAAAAATGGTTAAAAGATTTATGACCAATAAATATAATGGATTAGCTGCAATGTATTTATGTATCGAAATGTGTTTCTCTTTTTTTTAGATTCAAATTACTGTAATAAAAAACATCCAGCCACTCTTTCTTTTTTATTTTATTTAACCTTTACGGTATTTTACCAGGAAATTCCTTGAGATAAAATCTCTTTTTCGAGGGAGAACTGGCCAAGAGGCAGCAGTACAATAAGACATATAAAACACATAAAAACAACATAATAAAATCAATAGAAAACTAGACTCTAGAATAACAGTTACAATTCTCTGTGCAAGCGGTTTTCAATAGTGATGTAAAATGCTGTAGCGGTTGTCATGTCCATTGTATTCTTTCGGTAATATACCCCTAAATATACCTTTAGAACAATAAGTTGAAAAAAACGAGTCGTCTACTAATGTACTCTATGAGTAAATATCAATTTAAATTATCTGTCTGTAGGGTATATCTGTCCCCCAATTCCTGAAACCTAATTAAATACTTAGGAAAAAAGAAATGAATTAGAGTGTGAAATATTTAGGCCCGAGCAGCGAAGGCTGCAAGAGCCTATTGTATTTCGAAAGTTTCTTATTATTATTATTATTATTAGGCCCGAGCAGCGAAGGCTGCAAGAGCCTATTGTATTTCGAAAGTTTCTTATTAGGCCCGAGCAGCGACAGCGCTGCTGCGAGAGCCTATTGTATCTGTAGTGTTTATTAGGCCCGAGCAGCGACAGCGCTGCTGCGAGAGCCTATTGTATCTGTAGTGTTTATTATTATTTTTCTCCTTACAAATAAAATGGCTTTTTGGAGGCTTTATCATATTCCAAAACTCACCAAAGTTTGCAGACGCATCAGACCTGGTGAAAATTTACGTATTTTAATGGCCCCGTAAAAATTGCTAACCAGATGCCTCAACAGCGCCCCCTTAAAATTTTCAAAATACCCTCCCCATTGACCTTTTTTTCTCATAGAGACATGAAAATTGGCACACTTGTAGAGCGTCCTCACACTTACAAATAAGTCAATTAACG